TCCTCCAGCATTGACAGACAGATGGTGCACTTCTCATCTATGCCCAGCTCCTTGTCCTCCAGATACATCTTCAGGTCCTGTGGTATTCTCTGCAGTGGGCAGATACAATCAGACTCCAATGATCATTACAGCGAGTAGCACAGCAGCGTGTTATTTTTATTCCTTTGGTGACTCTGAGTCATGATAAAAGAAAAAAACGAAAAACATGCCCTTAGATCGACATCAGACACACACAGCTTACATACTTCCTCTCCAAGAACTAAATAAGTTGACACTTCCTCCCCCAGCATTTGGATCATACACAATGTTTTTTTTTTAATTCACTGCATGCACATATCTGACAGCTGGATGGGTCATTCCATGGCGACCTGCTTCACTAATGTGATTACAAAAATCTGTCTGAATTTTGAACTACCGTTTAATCATGATGACCAACTGGACTTGTTTTTATACACTGTGGTGGATTCCAAGTATCACTCATTTTTCAGACCAGTGATTCCCCCCCGGACATAGGTCATGCAACTCCAAACAGATAGGCCATAAGGTGAACCCGATTATCGTTTCATCTGTGCATGCTGCAAAACAGCATGCAACTGTCATCATTAAGAGCCAACACTGATGTGGGAGTATTTAGTTAGGAGCGAATAAATGAACGAATGAATAAACAAATGGTCCTTGTCATTGATTACTTCTTTTTTATTGATCAAAATGACTTAACAGAAAGTTCACCTTATTGTCTATTTTCCTCATTGTTCCTCGTGCAGGCAGCTATGTATAAAGTACTGTTTAGAAACCGTTTGGCCCACTTTAGACGACTTTTGGGAGAATTCCTCTCTATCGGTAACGTTAAGTAAAACCATGGAGGCAGCCGTGTTGCCAGAAGTGTTGACATCAATCAGCTACTCGATTGGTGTAGCACGATCACGTGTCGAACCGTGCCACCGCTCGCGCACCAACATTTTATTGCGCCCTGAAGACGCTAGTTCTTTATAAAATGCATCTATATAAAAAACGGGCAGGATATTTTGCGACGAAAGTTTTGCTGTAAGTTTAACGTAACTCGTTCTTATTTATGAAGTTGAGGTCGTGTAGTTCCCAGACGTCGGAGCGGAATTCAATTTCTAAAGGACTTTTCGTGGTTCACCTTACTGCCTATGATAGATGATGAACCTATTGAGGGGCTCAGGGGGCGCGGCTTCATTGATTTCCACACGTGCAAACAGTTAAAATCAGTGGAAACGCCGCTGTTGGGTGTTTACTGGACTTTATCTAAATGCTGTACTGTCACAGAACAGCAGGACAACAGACTGAAGTATATATCCCAGTGTAGCATTTAGGAGACAGTGTGAGCAGACTGCTGTCTGCTGAAATCAGTCCGTTTTTTTTTTTAATATATAAATAAAACTAGCGTTAGATACACAGGCTAAGATGCTACCGGACGCTTACGGGTGTGCGGTGGAGAACAGGTTCGGGAACCTTCTAGATGATGATGCTGACCCTTTCGACTTAATCAGCGAGTTGGAACGCGAGAAGGAAAAGAAGAAGAAGAAGAAAAAGAAACAAGACGAGGAGAAGAAAGTCAAGCAGAAAAAACCCGGTCAGAAGGAGTCTCAGAGGGACAGACGCGTCCGTGCCGTCCATCAAGACCCGGTATCAGGTAAACTAAGTGGTTTTGGCCTGTCAGTACCGGCTGTGTCGGCCGCTGGTGGTGACAGGTTAGCATTATTTGCTGTCAGAATGAGGTTTAGACTGCTCAGTCTTACGCGGATTTACCAATGGTGTTTATGCCACAAAATATTTAAAATTACATTTAACGGAAAGGTGTAGATTTTTAACCAGAAATTAGTAATAAAAGGTCATCCATCCATCCTTCCATCCAGCAATTGCCACCCAAATCACACTGCACCGTACCAACCCCCACAAACCTTCCTGCAGGTGGTGAGTCCACTGAAAGGTACCAACCGCCATAACCTGGATTCGAACTTGCCCAGGAGGTGAACCCTGGGGTTCCACACCAATTACAGAGACATTGCCTCTGGGCCAAAGCACCTTGATTATAAAACCGTAGTCATCAATTAAAAAACAACTTTGCAATGATGAAATGAAGAATGCAAATGAAGAAGGGATGCAGACAAGTGTCATTGACGTGCAAACGATGACGATGTGATATTCAATGGATATTCGATATTCAATTGGTAATCATTGGTCTAAAAAGCTTATTATATGACAATCTCACTAAAAATGATTAAATTATCTTCCACCACAGAATCCACCAAATGTGTAAAACCTTTGTGTGTAAAACCTTTGTGTATGACTTATTTGGCTACCCAGCCAGAAGCATGTTAACATTCTTATAATAATTACAGGACTTTGTCTTTTTTTCCTAGTCTGTAAGCAGCAGACTCAGCAGTCATGCCCTGGACCAGCTTCTGAGAGCAGAGATGGCAAAGAGGAGACCCTGAGGGGCATGAAGAGAGCTGCAGCTGTGGAGCATATGGCTGACCAAAGGGAATACCCCCAGGAATTTTCTGTCTTTGTGTAAGTCTAAAAGTTAATTTGTTTTACCCTTTTGCACATATTTCCCTGTTAAATTCCAATGGAATTTTGACATGAGTAAACCATGTTTTTTTTTTTTTTTTTTTCCTCCCCCCCCTTCCCCCATTTAACTCAGGCCAATCCATGCAGACTCTGAACTCAGGGGCAGGGGTGGGAACAGAAGGAGAGGAGGAAGAGGTGGTGGATACACGAGGAACCTTGACACTGTCAACTTGAGGGGCAAGAGAGAATTTGAACGCCATAATGGAACGTAAGCACTCTCTGTTTATTCATCAGCCCTTAAAAAAAAAAAGAGAATAAAAAAAATCAACCTATCCGTGTCGATCACTTATCTAACGTGTCACAGTGGAGTCTCTCCTGAGGAAAAGCGAGGAGGCAGAGGACCCTGGAACTGGGGCTGTGTTGATGAGGCTGCAATGTAAGTGATTGTAGAACCAGTAGAAATTTTATTTTTTTACACCTGGGTACAACTAAAATGTTGAGATACGTTTATCAACGAAGCGAACTGATGGAAGTGATGGACAACACGGCGACTAAAGCTGAAGAACCTGAAACACCAGTGGATGATGAAAACCCCAGTCGGTGAGAAATGCACCTCAGTGTCAGAACAGACAATAACTGAGGTTTTGTTTTTTTTTTCACATGTACAAATGAACGGTCACAAAAAATAACAGTAGTTCTTAAATGAAATAACTGTCCTGTGAATTATAAATCATCAGGTCATAGTCTGCTAATGTAGTGAAATTAGTAACAGTTTGAGTTGAAGCTAAAATGAAGTTTTCACAGCTACAAGCGTTTGTGTGTGCAAATAGTAATTATATAAACGTAGTAAATTTAACGATGTGATTTAAATAATGCTAAAAGTATTTAGTAGAAATATAACGACGTTTGTTTTAACAAATTTCTTGCCATTTAAATATAATTTTTGGGGTTGTTTCATAGCTTTACATTTAGTGTTTAGAGTTACATTTGCAAGAAGCTTATGCTTAACCAAGTTCTGATGCAATTGTGACAGAATGGTGGGAGAGGAGGACGGAGAGATGGTTGTCCAAGTTGCCGTCCAGATGTCACTGGACGAGTGGAAAGCCATGCGGGAAATGAATCGCCCCAAGATGGAGTTCAACATCCGCAAGGCAGAAGACAAGATTCCTTCAAAGGCCAAGGTCATCCACAAGTCCAAGCAGGTGGAGGTGAGGATGGGGATATGGGATGCCCCTAATACTGGGAATGGGGGAGGAGGAGCAGGTTGTTTAGTGAATGACACCGTGTCTCTGGTGTTTGTCACCATACCAGTGTTACCAACCATAGAGCACTCCTCTCCTCGAAAACCAGAAGATGAGTATTTTAAATACAAACAGTACTTTGAGAAGGGATAATGTACGACGTGATTGGTCGAGCCGATGAAATGTTTCAGTAAAAGAAGGATTAAAAAAAAGTGGCTCTAATGAAATCTGTTACCATATTTACCATTGTAGAAAACTGACAAAGTGAATACAAATCCATGTCTCTAGTTCCCTTTTGCACACATTGACCAGGTCTTTGTGTCTATGAAAATGCACAATCATTAGAGAATGTGCCAATTCCTGAGTGCGCCACATGCCAGGTTCTTCTGTGCTAATTCTGTATTTGTTTTCCTCCTTCAGAACCTTAAGTTTATGGAGGCCATGGAGACTGAAGGAAACTTCTTCCGAAAGTCTGTCAATGACATCACTTCCCTCTTGGATATAAATTTTGGGAGTCTCGTTCGTCCCGCCCGTGGTGGTCGAGGACGTGGAGGTCGAGGTGGTGTAGCAAGCCGCCCAGAGAAAGTTAAACCGATAGTGGAAAGGGTATGTGGCAGCTCTCGGGTAAAGAAATGAATCAAGCGTGGAGGTCGAGGTGGTGTAGCAAGCCGCCCAGAGAAAGTTAAACCGATAGTGGAAAGGGTATGTGGCAGCTCTCGGGTAAAGAAATGAATCAAGTGTTTGAGAGTTTTTTTTTTTTTTTTTTTTTTAAAGCTACCTTCAGGCATGTGATCAATTGTGAATCACCAATAATTGACAAAACTCATTAGATTTCAAGTTCTGTTCTCTGGTGAATTGAAGTTTTTAATGTTTTCCCTGTTAGGATTCTGAGCTGGCTCCAAACCCTGATGACCCAGAAGACTTCCCTGTTCTATCAGCTAGAAGATAAAACTGGATTCACTTTATTTACTTCATGTAGGGAGAGTTTGTTGCACTTACACTTGCTGGACACTGTTCATGTTTCTCCTGTCTTAAGGTTTAGGGTTCTGTTGCACTTAAAGCACAAATTAGCATTTGACAGAAGCTGAATAAATGCTAAGGCAAATTTCTGTGATGTGTTTATGCTCATTTCCCCCCAAGTGACACGTCAAAATTACTTTCTGACTCAAGATAAAGTGAACTGTTTGAGTTTAACACACTAGTCAAATGTCAAGTATATTTAAATGTCTGCGGGAATCGTTTCAATGAAGAGTGACCAGAAAAAGAATTGTTCCGAGTATACTTTTATTTAAAATGTCCCTTGGTGTGTTAAGCTAAATTCACTAGTGGATTATGGACATTATTTAAACCAGGCCCCTTTAGGACCACTCCACTTCTCAAAGCATGATTCAGACAGTACAAAAATATTTACAAAATACAATTCAAAATAAATTCAAAATACAAAATAAATTGCTTATCACACATTTACAGGCTTAAAAGATTGAAGTAAAAAGCAAAAACCAAATGACAAGGTGTCAATTTTATTTATTTTTTTTTTTTATACGATTTACTACTTGTATTTGAAAGCCCCAACATTATGGTTAAATGTAATAAAATTAGCCTAAGAATGACAGAAGTAAGGTCTGACTCATGGCTTTACGACTCAACTTTCACTACCCTCCAGACATTTGGACTCAGCTAAACTGTCAGATCAAGTGAGTTGGAAAGATCTAAATTCAATTGAGCCATTTCCTTTCTAACCAGATAGAATGGATTCACAGGGATTTGAAGTCATGAGTCACCAAATATGATTTTGTTAAAATACTTTGTTGATGCATCCCAGCCTATGTGCATCAGGTTACCAGGACAATGTCTGTCAGGAGAGAAGGAAGAGGAAACAGGAGAGTAGATGACCTTTGGTTTTTGGCTGGATTTTCACAGCTACCAATCATGTGGTCTGAATGTTTTCCACACAGATTTGTAAAGTTTGCTGCTGCCAGAAGGAGGCTGAATTTTCCTTTGGGCTGTGTCTGTTTGTGAAAAAGAGTTCACTGGAGGCTTGCCTGCACTTATGCCATGTTTAAGTTGATGAATGTGCCTGTGTTGACTGTGGCACTGGCCGTGTCTCTGTAGCTGCCACATGGATCACAACACATTGAGTCAGTGTATCCCATCACTACATGTAAGTTCCCAAGAGACCTGACCAGTCTGCTGTGGCACAGGGAGCTGGCAGAGAGAGAGGGGAGGCTGTTAATTTACCCCGCAGGGATCCACCAGTGGCTATAGCCTCAGGGCTGCTTTTCAACTGTGCTGTGCCACCTAGTATACTGCACACTTACTGGCCACTTTATTAAGTACACCTGTGTAATAACATGATGACAACATAATGTGAATAAACCATACAATCTAGATACAGATTTACTTGAGTGTTAAAAAACTGATATCTAGACCACTTTACCGTTTTTTACAGCCTACAAGTTGCACTGTTTTTCATCCTTTGCCTGGGTTTGCGACTTAGACTTGTATATTAAAATATATAATTTGACATGTTTGTTATTTTCACACTGACAGTCGTTAGAGGGCACTCTAACTGGCTGGTGCAACTTATACTCCGGAGTGACTTATAGTCCAGAAAATAAGGTACGTGTTTCATTTAAATTATTTTTTAACCATAAAAAAACAGTGGCTGTAAATGTGATGTGTTCTGGTTCTCTTCCTGCTGTCTGGGTGTTCAGACAGACAGGCAGTGGGTTGACACTGGTCTTACAGCCCTGATCACTGGCCTGTAGAACGGCCCTGAGGCGGATGAAAAGTCTTAGTCACTAGTACATTTTCCAGTCATTTAAAAAAAATATATTTTCCGTACGTTTTCCTGCTTAAGTACGGGGAAAAAAATGTACCTTGCAGAGTGTAATGACGACCTAGTGTGAACCTTATTCTCCTCCTGTCTGTAAAAGAACATGACAGTAAAACACTTTAAAGATCAGTACAGTGAAAGCCTTACAGAGACAGACGACAGGGCAGGAGGCAGAGAGAGGGAGACAGTGCAGTGTGGAAACAAGCAGGAAAGCTCAATCATTTGATTGCTTTGGCACATAACATTATGGCAGCAGTCGCAGCCAAGTGGAATTAGTAAAGCCAAGAAAGTTCCACAAAAGCCACACGGAGGCAGTAGAGAACTAAGAGGGACCAGGTTGTTGTTTTAAAGGCATTTTCTTCATTTTTAGTAGGGAAAAAAATGAATAATCAACACAAAAAACAGCAAATTGTGACATTTCCAGATGACATGATGCTGATGATAATAGTTAAACAAGCATCGAGTGTGTAATAAGATATGGTAGCATGGACAAGGCCTCTGGTGTTTCTGATTTAGAGGAAAACTAGTTTTTCTAATCAGCTCAGAATTTCCAGTTGTTTTAGGGGTAAAAGTAAAAGTGAAGGGGATTTTCTGTGATTTCAGGTTGTCAGCTTTCAGGAATTAAAGAGAAACAGTGGGGCTCACCTACAGCATTCAGGGCAGGTTTTTGGGGAGCAGACGGGCAGTAGAACTCATTGAAATCCTAACCCGTCTACAGAAATGCAGGATGGAAGGAGGGAAGCCAAACACAATCCACCACATGGCAAGGCTACACAGGGAGAAGAGCAGCATGGCTACCAGCCATCTGAAAGGAGGACAAATCCAACAACAAGAGCAAACGAAAAAGAAGGGGGGGGGGGGGGGAAAGAGACAAAAGACGTCCAGGTAGAAGACAGAGTCTCTGATGTTCTGCTTTTCCACTGGGACTGGATTAGATCAAATACTTCTCTGAAAGCCTTGTCCAGTAGTACTTGATCACAAGTAGCTCTCAAGGACCGCTGCTCCTGTGTTAACATTATGCTAACTTTTAAATCACTGCATAGGACAACATATTAAAATGTCTGTTTTTTTTTTTTACTCAGGCTGTCACAATTAATGTGAGCGTTATCTTTTGATTTAAGTTTAAGTTAAATTTATCAGATTAAGACTTTAATCTGATACATTTTAAAGCGTGGGTAGAATAACGCAGAATCGCAGGCCTTTCCCGACGCTGCGAATGTGCACGGAGAAGTGCAGCGCCGAGCCTCGTTGCCAAAACGCCAGTGGAAGAAACACAGCTCACCACTGCGCTGTCCTCGGGTGGAAACTTCAGCGATGACCGCCGTCCCCACATCCTCTTTCGCCAGCTGCGGGGAATCCGATACCACGCTCTGCACGGAGAAACGTCTGGTAGCCAGCAGGACCCGATCAACCTCTTCCGCCAAACCGCAGAAAACAGAAAAACAGAAACCCGCCGTCATCTGAACCGAGCAACGACAGCATATTGTCCACTATGAACGAATCACTCCCTGTGACTACCTCCCAAGCATGTGCAGACGCAAGTGATTTCTTCAACGGGTTTATTGAAGTCTCTGTCCTCTCCACAACCATCCAAAGACCTCCGCAAACCGTGAAACTAGCAATACACAGTATTACAGTTCACATTAGCACACTCAATATTTTGTACAAGATTCATAACGAAAAATAAAGACAAATAAATACCTCGTTGGCTGCATGCTATGAAAGGAAATCTGTAGATCTTCTATCTTCAGTCTTCACCATATAACTTTTAATATTAAACTGTGTAGCTTACTCTAGTTACTTACTCAAATCGCACCAATCTTACTGTGGGATTTCTCAATACGTCATTACTTAATACTGTTGCAAGTCAACTCTTAAATATTCTCAAAGAACTTTACCACTCAACAAGGAATGATGAAAACATTAAGCATCTTAATCTGCTTCAATCAAGGTCACAAGCTTGTGTATGGGTCTATCAAGAAACACTGTTTTAGTTGTGAGTTTACCCTTGTTATCAAATGTGGTGTCACTAATCAACAATCTGACTTTTCTCACCCTATCATCTGACTCGGGATAGACTTCTGCTATTCTGGCCAGCTTCCATTCATTTCGTGGAGCTTGCTCATCTTTCAAAAGCACAATGTCATTCACCTTCAGGTTTCTTCTGTTCTTCTGCCACTTTTGTCGAGGTTGTAAACTCAGCAGATATTCCTTTTTCCAACGAATCCAAAATTCATTGGCCAAATATTGAACTCTGCGCCACCTCTTTTGAAGATACAGGTCTTCTTTGACGAACTGTCCAGGTGGAGGAAGGATAATTGTTGACTTCATCGTAAGAATGTGGTTCGGAGTCAAAGGTTCAGGCGCAGATGGGTCATTCAAATGTTCAGCGGTAAGTGGTCTGCTATTGACAACTGCCATCACCTCATATAAGAAAGTTCCTAGAGAGGAGCTGTCCAATCTTTGAGCTGACTCGTCGAGAATGGCAGTGAGAACACTTCTTATGGTTCTGATTTGTCTTTCCCAGATGCCTCACATGTGGCTTGCCGCTGGGGAATTCATTAGAAATTCACATCCTAGAGCCTTGACCTTTTCTCCATCCATTCCCTTCATGAGTTCTGCAAACTCTCTCCTTGCGCCGATGAAGTTGGTTCCTTGATCGCTTCTAAGCTGACGAACATTTCCTCTTATGGCAATGAACACTCTTAGAGCATTGATGAACGCGTCAGTGGTCATGTCGTCGAGCACTTCTACGTGAATAGCTCTTGAACATAGACAGGTGAATAAAAGCCCATATCTTTTAATCTCTTTTCTTCCTTCTTTTACATACATAGGTCCAAAACAATCTATGCCAGTATAAGTGAATGGAGGGGTTGTTTCCATTCTGTCTTGAGGTAAGTTACCCATCCTTTGTTCCTCAGTACATCTTCTGTACTTTCGACACTTGACACATTTGAAGATGTGTGACGATACTGCGCTGCTGCTTCCAAGGATCCACCATCCGTTAGCTCGCAGTTCGTTTAAAGTCAGTCCACGTCCCTGATGATGAATCTTTTCGTGGAAGTGCTTGATAAGTAGTGCTGATATGTGGCTGTTCTTTGGAAGT